ACTCTGGGTTTCGAGACGCCCTGAGCTGAGGTGGTTAGACCAATTTCGCTTGAGACATCCTCGCAACTCTGACCTCAGAGGTCTCCTGCCCCATGCTGGTCAGGCCACGGTCGCCTGAGACATCCTCGCAAGTCTCGATTCCGATATGCCCCGAGCTGAGGTGGTCAGCCACTGTCGCCTGAGACATCCTCGCAACCCTGATTTCAATGATGCCCTGCTCGATAGTGTCTCGGCCCCTTTCGCCTGAGACATCCTCGGAACTCTGGGTTCCGAGACGCCCTGAGCTGAGGTGGTTAGACCACTTTCGCTTTAGACATCCACGCCCGAGATGCCCTGAGTTGAGCTGTTCAGGCCACTTTTGCCTGAGACATCCTCGCAACTCTGACCTCAATGATGCCCTGCTCCATAGTGTCTCGGCCTTTTTCGCCTGAGACCCTCGCAACTCTGGTTCTGAGATGCCCTGAGCAGGTGGTCAGGCCAGTCCTGCCTGAGACATCCTCGCAACTCTGGGCTCCGAGATGCCCTGGGCTGAGGTGGTCAGACCACTCTCCCCAGAGACATCCTCGCAACTCTGACCTCAGAGATCTCCTGCCCCATGGTGGTCAGGCCACTTTCGCTTGAGACATCCTCACAACTCAGACCTCGGAGGTGTCCTGCCCCATGGTTGTCTGGTCACCTTGACCAGCGACATCCTCGCCACTCTGGTTTCCAAGATGCCCTGCCCCATGGTGATCCGGCCACGCTTGCCTGAGACATCCTCGGAACTCTGGGTTGCGAAATGCCCCGAGCTCAGGTGGTCAGGCCACTATCGCCTGCGACATCTTTGCGGCATGTGCGGGCATGTGCGTCTATGCTTTCAGAGTTTTGCTTGACCGTGCATTCGACTGTGCGTCGGACGGTGTGGCATGTGCGCGCATGTGCGGCAATGCTGTTGAGGCTTTTGTATATTTGCATGGGCATGTGCATGCGACTGTGCGGCATGTGCCTGCATGTGCGGCCCCTTCCGGACCACAATTTCAAAGTGAGCACTATAGAAGTGAGCGCTATAGAAGTGAGTCCGGTGTAAGCCCCCTGGGGCCGTGGGTGGGGCGGTGTCGTGTCGTTTTTTTGTTTTTGTTCTGGTCTATGCCGTCCCTCCTTTCTCGCTCCTCCTCCCTCCCCTCCTGCTGCTGCTGCTGCTGCTGTTGCTCCTCCTCCAATCGCGCACGCTGTGCATTATGAGACAGCCGACGTGCAGTCGCTCCCGCAAAGCGGCGAGTTCAGGCTGGCATTGTCTTTTGCCCACGCGCTCCGGCGTATGGCAGTTCGTTCGTTCGTTCGCCAGCAGGGGGAGCTGGCCCAGGGCGGGCTTGGGACACCCGACCCCCAATCGGCCATGCCTCAAGGATCGAGCCTGGGCGCCCCAACCCGTGCAGTAGCGCGCGCTTCTGCCGTCGGCGGCCCAGCGGCGATGCATCGCCGCTTGCGGGTAAGGGTCACCCTGCCCTGCGCCAATCCCGTCCTTGCGTCCCTCCTCGAAGGGCTCGCCGCCATGTGAGAAGCCTTGTGAGAAGGCTGCGATAGGGGGCCACATGCGAACCCTACCCCTACCCCCCACGACTTTTGGGGGGAGGGTGGGGTTCACTTCGCTCGGGAGGTCCCGAACGCAGTGAACCCCACCCTCCCCCTCAGAAATCGTGGTGGGTAGGGGTAGGGTTCGCATGTGGCCCCCCATGCGCAGGATGCCTGGAAGGACGGAGGGTTTCCGAGAAGCCCCGCCGCCTGCTTCGAGGGCCGGCCCTCTGTGGCTCCCCCCCCCCTCGCCGCGCCGCAGAGTGAAGCGATCGTGGCGACGGGAGTCTCTCAGGAAGGGAAAAAACACACAGACACAATCAATCGTCGATTCCCAGGAAAATGTGGAAAAATATGGGAATTGGGGGGGAAGACGAAAGCCCAGAAAATAGATGAAAATATGAGGAATCCTGTTATTTGTGTGTATTTATTTGTGTGTCCCAGGGCCTCTTCAGTCTCGGTCTGCCCCGTTCTCAACCTCGCCTCCTCCTCGTCCTTCGGTCATCCCCGCTCCTCGCTGAGTCCGTGGACCGCGCCCGAGAGTGGCATCGCTGCGGGACCGAACGCCGCACTGCACCCGCCGCCATCACCAGTGCGCGCTGGATGTGTGTCATGGCCCTCACCTCCTCCTCCCTCCTCCCTCCCCGCCCGGCCTGCATGCCCGCCTTCCCGCCTCCTCCCTCCTCCTTTCCGAGCCCCACGAGAGCCAAGGCAGTGTCGTCGCCTCTCGCTCCCGTCCACGTCTTTCCCTCCTCCCTCACACTCCCGCTCTCCTTCTCTCTCCCTCTGGGATCAGTGTTCGGCTGAGCCGCGTCGGCATCGACAACGCTTTGGTGGAGGCAGGTTGCGGCTCGTTCGATTCGTTTTCATGCGATCACCCTGTGAAGCGAGGGGAAACAAAGTGGTTTCCCCCTCCTCACGCTCCTCCCTCTCTGTCCATCCCGCGTGCTGCAGTGTCTCATGCGTGCAACCCAACGCCACTTTGCTCAGAGTGATGGAGGTGCGCACAAAGACTCGAGCCTAAAGGAGGGCGCGACCGAGGAGCATCTGCCCATGAGCAGCGAGGGATGGGGGATGCACTGCCGCGACTCCCCGAAGTTCACCGAGTACCTCAGGCTGGCGAGGGACTCCGGCTGGCAGGACCTCGTCAGCGAGGCCGCCTTGACAGTGGGAGCGGAGGACTGCCTGGTGGTCGTTGACATGCAGAACGACTTCATCCCCGCCGACGACGTGAAGAATCCGAGGGGGGGCGCTTTCGCCGTCGCGGAGGGCGAGGTCATAGTCCCCATGGTGGTCAGGCTGATGGAGCACTTCGCAGCGAGCGGTGCCCTCGTGGTGGCCACGAGGGACTACCACCCGAGGGACCACTGTTCCTTCATCTCGGAGGGCGGCCACTTCCCGGCGCACTGCGTGCAAGGCTCGACGGGCGAGCACGCGCACGAGCGTGAGCTCTCAGAGGTCCGCGCGGATCTCCGATCGCTCCTGCTCGTGTGTGTCGCTTGCCCCCCCCCCGAGGCACGGAGGGCTCGCACTTCTATCCCGACATTGCAGCCTGCATGGCCGATCTGAAGACCGTCGGGCGCCGTGCAGAGGTGGTGTTCAAAGGCTTCCACGAGGACATCGACTCCTTCGGTTCTTTCAAGTACCCCGAGCAGAGCCACACCTGGCAGCGTCTCAACTTCAACGAGAGGCCCGACCGTCTCTACGGCTGTTCGCTGTGCTCCTGGACCGGATGCGTGTCGCTCAAGTGCTCGAATCATGACAACGATATAAATGCCCCTCCGGATGTGCTGGCGGCCCATGCCAGAGTGGACCTGGCCGAGATGCTCAAAGCACAGGGCACGAAGCGCGTCTTCGCTTGTGGCCTCGCCATGGACTTCTGCGTTCTCGACACCTGTCTGAATGCTCTGCAGTGCCTCCCCAGCGTCTCGGAGGTCTCTCTGCTCCTGGACGCCGCGCGGGCCGCCTACCTGCCTGGCATCGGCCAGGTGGGCAGCGGCTTCCTAACAGACTTGAAGGAAATGGCTGGCAAGCTCCGCAGCAGCAAGGTCGTCGTCAGGCCAAGCTCGGCGGTGCTCCCACGAAGCTTCTCTGCAGAGTTGCCGTCGCTCCTGCGCCACGAGATGATCGGCAAGGTCTTCCCTGAACACTTGGGCCCCTTCGCCCTCATCCCAGCATCGGACCTGAAGCTGACCTTGAACTGGAAGACGCAGACGTACGCGGCCACTCAAGATTCGCCCGCGGTGGACGTGGGGGCTTTGCGAGCCAACAACGTCGAGCCGTCAGGCAGCATCTCAGGGATCCACAAGCTGACGCTCAGCCCCGAGAGCCTGGAGGCGATGGGCGTCCCCAGGAACGCGACCCACTTTGCGTGGGCCTACTCGGTGGAGCTCGGCACCTTCGTCGACCAGGCCCGCGCCTACTTCTCCATCACCACGCCGGCGGCGGCCTTCTTCGTCTTCGGCGGCTTCGTGTACGTGGACGCGGCCCGGGAGGTGGTGGCCGTGATGTGCCTGTCGCTGGGCAGCGGCCTGAGCTTCGGGGCGCGCGAGGGGCTCGGCCTTGGGGCCTGCGCGGCGCTCCGGGGCCGCTGGCAGCCGGTGACGGCGCCCTTCATGATGCGGAAGGGGGCGCGGAAGTACGCCTGGATCGGGCCCAAGGAGGTTCAGGAGGGAGAGAAACACACAGACACAATGAATCCTCGATTCCCCGGAAGATATGGGAGAATATGGGAAGTGGGGGGGAAGACAGAAACCCAGAAGATGTGGGAAAATATGGGGACTATTTTTATTTGTGTGTATTTATTTGTGTGTCCTAATTTCCCTTTAGAGGTGCTCGCGGAGGCCGCGTGGACGGCTCCGCCGTTCGGGTGCTTCGCGTATGCGGCCCCGCCGCCGCGGGAGCCCGCCGCCGTGGCCCCCCCTCCGCTCCTCTCGCCGCTTCCCCCCCCCCCTCCCTCTCCTGCCCGCTGCGCGCTCTCCGTGCGGTCAACCATGATAGGCAGGAAGGGGCAACTTTCCAAGGCTACTCCAGATTTCGTAATAAAAGGGAGGGGGTCACAAAGTTATGAGGGCCTCTGCGTCTTAATATGAGCTGTCTAGGCGCACTTTCACTACCGAAACACTTGGGGGAACCAACTTCATTCCGACATGAAAAAAATCAATGTTCAATTTTTCCAGAAATGCCTTCTCTCTTTCAACTCTGAGCTCCTCCCAGACGAGAAGTTTTAGACCCCCCCAGACCATCCATGAAAGGGCGGCCCTTTGCCCAGACCCCCCCGAACCCTCCAAGACAGCTCAAATCAGACCCCCCCCCAAATGTGACCCCCCCTTACTTTATTATGGTATCCGGGCTACCCTTGCATCCTTGCCCCTTCGGTCTCCGGCACCCTTCGGCATTCTGCTGCGCTCCGCACGCAAGACGTCAGCATGGCGGTCCAAGGCCTCTGCACCCTCACCGCGCATCCTTGGTCGAGTGTATTCCGCCTTCCGTTCCCTCACCTCCGCTCTGCTTCTCCAGCATCGCTCACGTCCCTCCGCTCCCGTCTTCCCGTTCGGGGTCCCTCCTAGGACCGGCGCGGGCCCGGGGGCGCCCGGAGAGGGAGGAGGTGGGACGTTCGGCGGCTGCAGCGAGGGGCGCGTGGCCGGGGGGGGGGGGGCCACGGCAAGTACCCAGGGTGATCCAGTCGCCCCCAGATCACTTCAATCATGTCAGCCCAACTCGGCGGTAGCATATCGCAGGCCTCGAGGGTGACACCAGCACCAGTATCGGCGGCGTGCCTCCACCGCGAGAAGAAGATCCCGATCTCGGTGATGGTGGTAAAGATTCTGGCTTCCAAGGCGGCCGAACTATTGCCACCAACACCGAAATCTTGGACCATCTTCCCCGTGTGGAGGCAAAACCCCTGCGTTGGTGATGGTGCCCATTTCCAGGCCTTCAAGCATATCGGCAATGGCGATGATCATGCAACACACAGGCCATGGACCATTTCGCAGTACACTGCGGTTCCACGGTTGCCACATACCTCACAGCAGGACAGTACTGGCCCAGTACAAACCATGGATTGAAGAATTTTGCCAGAGCACTGTACGAAGAGATCCGCGCACACACAAGTACATCGATATCTACTGGAAAAAAAAAAGTGCGCAACGATCAACCTTGGAAAAAACATGCCCCTCTCTTCGACGAGGCTCCCCAGAGGATTCGAGCAACGCCTGCTCCTTTGGCTATCGACCTCTGTGGCTCCTGGCCGCTATTCTATGGACTATGGAACCCCGTCGCACGGAGTTCTGATTTGGGCGCATGTGCTTTGTTGCGGGGGGCAAAGCAAAACGCGCCGACATGGCCTGAAGCAAATTGCCGCTGCACGCAAGAAGCAACGCCCACGATTATCTAGCACACACGCGCGCGCTCACACACACCCACATACACACCCACGCACACACACACCACACACACATACACACACACACACACACCCGCGCGCGCACACACACGCGCGTGCGCGTGCCCATACTCTAGGCCTCCTAGATGGGGTCGGAGTAGATGGGGTCGGAGGATCGCTCCGCATCGCCGATGCATCGGCGATGCGGCTCGATGTGGAGCCCGATGCTCCCCACGCTGACGTCGCCAACGTCGCCAACGTCGCCGGCGTCGCCGCATCGCAGACGTCGCCCGATGCGGCGCGATCCTCCCATCTACCCGACCCCATGTAGGAGGCCTGTACACACACGCGCGCGCACACAGACATGCACGCTTTTTCGCGTTTCGGCCGCCACGCGCGCAGCAAACGCGGCGGAGCCGGGCGTGCGGGAGCGGCGAAAGAAGCTGGTGCGGCGGCCGCGGCCTGACACCGCCAGCGGGCCAGAGGGAACGCACAGGGCGCGGCCAGCCCGACGCACGCGCACACACGTACACACACTCCTCGCTCCTCCTCCTCCTCCTCCTCCTCCTCCTCCTCCTCCTCCTCCTCCTCCTCCTCCTCCTCCTCCTCCCTCCTCCCGCCTCCGTCCATCCCGCCCGCCTTCCCCTGCATGTTCTCGTTTCGGTCGCACGCGGGCGGGGCGAGGAGCCACTCTGCCGTTCCAGGTCGCGCGCCGGCGCAGCGGACTCACGCCGGGCCACATGCCAGGCCCAGGGGCGCCCTGGGAGCCAGCAGGGGAAAAGGGGAGAGGACGCCGGCCCCTCACGGAGCAGGGGCGGGGGGCGGCGGGCAGCGAACGCACACACCACACACACACACACCACACACACACACAAAAACACACACACACACAACACACACACACAAAAACACATACACACACAAAAACACATACACACAAAAACACACACACACAAACACACACACACACATAAACACACACACACACACCAACTGCTGCAAGCGCGGTGGCGGACATCTTCCATGATGACGAGGGTGCCGATGACGAGAGGGACTGCTATTTCCCCGTGGCGGCGATGCAGGGAGAGGCCGTGGGACTAGGCAGGATCAAGAGCGTCGCCCGGGCATCCCGCTTGATTCATCGAACAGCGGCGGGCTTGCAGCAGAAGACGCAGCAGCCCACGCCCCAGCTCCAGGTGAGGCACGTAAAAAACTATCGTTTGCGACGACGTTCGCGCTAAAGTTGGCCGCGTAAGGTGGCTCGCAAGCGCCCTCGTTTTCAATACAGCTTGCCGCGCTGGCGGCCCGCGTAAGCCGCCGCGTAAGGTCGCTATGTCTTCTCGCGTAAGACCTGTTTCTTTTCGTCGCTCAGGTGGTCGGGTCTGGCCTGGATGCGGCGAGGCAGGCGCACCGGAGAGGCACTTGAAATCCAGGCCTCGTATATTGGGTCCGAGCAGGTGGGGTCGGCGGACCGCGCCGCATCACCGATGCATCGGCAATGTTGCTCGACGGAGCCCAATCTTCTCCACGCGGACGGCGTCGATGCATCGCCCGTGCATCGCCTATGCATGAGCGATGCGTTGGCGATGCGGCGCGACCCCATCTACTCGGACTCCATCTTAGGGGCTTCTGTATGATCCACATCCTCTACTTCCCTGCCTGTTCGTCTCACTCTCCGAAGCGGGAGACGCACGCTTGACTAGTCGAGTACTAGGACACGCAATAAACATACAATGTCGGAAGTCCGCGCGGATGTGCCAGATCTGCGCTGGGCCCCCGCCGCCCGGCGCGCCCCGCGCGCTGGGAGAGCGGGGCCCAGCGCCGACCCAGGACATGCGCGCGGGCCTCCGAGAGTCTATGCTTGTGCAGCGCCTTGTTCTCCGGACTTGGCATCGCTCGGACGTGTGCATGTTTCCTTCGGCGAGGGCCATCGAGGAGCATCCTTGATCATTTGGCGAAACAGCCACGCACGAAACCGAAAAAAGCACAGGAAATGGACGTCCGAGCGATGGCCAGATGCTTGTGCAGCGCCTTGTTCTTCGAAGCGCGCAGACCAGCTCGACCCGCGCACGGGCTCGGGTGGACGAGGGCGAGGCTGGCGCAGCGGAGGTAAAAGTCCAGGTCTCAGCCCCTCTCCACCGAGTCCCTCCTGTATCGGCTCACCCGCCGTCCTTTCGGACTCGGCCAGGGTCCTTTCGATTGTTTGCTGCACACGCTGCTGGTCGCAGGTGGTGGCGCGAGCATCACCGCGATACGCGCACCGCGGCTCGCGGCTTGTTTTGGATAGAGTCTGAAGCGACAAGTGGGGCGACCTGCAACGGGCTGCAAGAGTACCACGGATGTTGTCGTCGTCGACATGGATCGCGTATCGAGACTTTCTGGCGTCAGGACCGAGATCTTCTGGGCGCTTGGGGGTTCCAGTGGGCTCTCGTGGGCTTTGGGGGAGGGGGGATATGAATTCTTCTTGCAGGGGGCACGAACCTTGACCTCCTACAGTCAACCCGCATAGTAAGGATGGGCAACCTTCCAAAAGGTATCCTTGAATCCTTGCCTTCTCAGTCCATCCTTGGCCACTTTCGTTGGCCGCGCCCCGCTCGAGAAGCTTCGAAACGGCCTTCCAAGGCCCTTGCATCCTCATCGCGCATCCTTACTATACGGCTTGACTGTACTGCATCCGCCCTCCCCTCCCTCATCCCTCCCTCCTTCCCCCGTAGCCAGGTTGCCTCGAACGCAGTTCCGCCATCCTCGGCGGAACGGGGCTCTCCCGCCGACCTCGGTCCGAGGACTGGTGCAGCGTCAACCCGCCCCCGCAGAGGTGCAGCCGCCATCAGAAGCTGGGCGAGGGCTGCTAAAACCGTGGCTGCTAAAACGGCCCTCCCGGAAGGAAAAAACAACTTCCCGGAATGAGGCGCGGCACGCGAAACAGTCAACGGGCTTCTTCCCGGAAGGACGAAGACAACTTCCCGGAGGTCGATTTTAGCAGCCACGGATTTAGCAGCCCTCGCCCGGCTTCCGACGCCAGCACCCCGCGCGCCATCAGGCGCGCCCCCGCCGCGGCCACCTCCGCGGCCAGGAGTGCCCCGGGGCGGGCAGGAACGAGCGCGGGCCCGGTGCCCACGCCGCGGTTGTCCAGGTTGGCTCCGGGCATCGCAGAAGAAGCCGATCCAGTGCAGGTCGTGCAACGCCTCCCTGGACGCCTCCCTGGAAGCCGCCAGTGCAGGGGCGCGGGAAGGACGGAGCAGGGCAACGGCAAGGGGAAGGAGATGGACCGTGGTCACGGAAAAGAACTAGAAACAGTGCGAGTGGTCGTGCCCTTCCGTGGAAGGCCCCCCACCCTGACACAGCCCCCTCAAGCCCAAACACAAATCCAGATTGCTCAGGATCTTGCGAAATGCCTTGGAAGGCGTCTTGCAGCCAGGATCCCAGGATCCTATGGCAGCCGAGGAGCGTTTCAGGAAGGCGAGGGAGGAAAAGCTCCAAGCCAAGACTCCCGCCCAGCGCACAGCACAGCTCTCGTTGCCTTCCACATAACGCACCAGCTGAGACCATCAGCAACGATGCCAGAATGTTTGGAGAGACGGAGGAAGACATATCTGAACCGTTTGATCACTATTCGAAGCTTGTTGGCGAAGCGCGGCACGCAAGAGCGCAGTTTGATGGGCTGCTGAGGGGGACAGGGGGAGGACGGCGGCGCGTCCAAGCGAAGTGGAGAAGGTCAGGCCACGTTGGCTGGCTCGAGTGCCGCAACAGTTCAGGAGCAGGCGAATCCAACTGGTATCGTTGGAGCATCCCCATCCCCATCCCCTTCGGGTTCCCCACCAAATTGCCACCCCAGTTGGGTATGCACCCCTCGAGACCCGAAGGGAACGACCTATATCCCCATCTAGGGGGGGGCAGATCGGCCAGTGGGGCTCAGGCCACGCCGCTGGGGATGGGCATCGGTTCAACGACACTCATTCAGCCCTGGAAATCGAGCGAGCCCCGGAGGCTCTGGAGAGGACCTCGAGGCAGGCCCGCACCGAGCAGGAGAGGGGGGGGGGGGGGGCGCAGGCGCAGGCGGCAGGGGCACCGAAGATCGCAGCCTGGAAGCAGACACACATGGTCTTCGGCCTCCCTCCTCCCCCAGATCCCAGGCGATCGCAAGCCTGGATCAAGGGGGCATGGATCAGCGACGGGTCCCGCTTCCGTGGGGAATCGCGGATTCCCGCCGCCGAGCGAGGCGGCGCCGGCCGCATGTTGGGGAGGGCACCTCTCCCGATCCATGGATTTGGCGACCGCGCGCCAGACCCATGGATCGCCAATCCATGTTTGCGCGCCCCCGAAACATGGTATTCGGCTTCCCTCCCCTCAGATCTTTGCAATATGCACGGCGGCCAATAAAACACTACTAAGAACAAGACTTTGGCTCTGGCGACTCGCATCGGATATGGCGATGACCTCGATGTCGAGGAGATCAGCGCTGTGAAAAATGGGGCAAGTTATCGAATATGCAGCGGGTGTCAGCTTATGCATGACAGGAAAATCAAGTGGCCCATCGAGAAGTCAACGCAACCCCTGGCAAGGGGCAACTGTCGCCTGCATGGGAAGCTCCCCGATCGCGCTGAGCTGGCCGCTGAGTTCGAGGAGCAAGCTTCGAGTGACAAGAAGCCGAGTCCTCTGAGCCAAATGGGCCATCATCAGGCGCATCGGAAGGGCCAGGGAGGATACCTGGTGGAGATGTAGGCCGCGCAGTGGTAGGTTACCAGGGCGGCGAGCACTCTGGACACCCCGCTGCTGCAGCAGGGCCAGGAGCAGGAGCAGGATAGGGGTGGACGCGGGGAGGGCGGAGAGGAGCGGACATGGGGGAGGGAGCGTCGACTGCGTCAGGCAGCAGAGGGTCTGCAGCCCTCTGTGCCTTGTTCGCGCCCCCGCTTCCCCCATTGCCCCAGAACCCGCCCCCCGCCGTCGCCCCGTCGTCTCGCTCGCAGACGCAGGCCTTCATGGGCCTTCCGGGCGACAAGCGGTGAATGTCAGTGTACCAGACGCGGGTGGAATGCAGATCTCGAGTGAACAATGCGCCCTGGCTCTGGGACGCCCTTCAGAGGGTAGCGTTCCTGGCCGAAGCTGGCATGAATACCGGGGCCTCGCGGCGCGATGTTGATTGCTTCACAGGGCCTCACCTCGCGCGCTGGGGCGCATGCTCGAGATACCTGGCATGGGGGTCATGATTGGAGTCAATCACGAGGGTCTTCAGGCGTATAATTTGGGCAAACTGGCTCAGGTCGCTGCCTTCCAGGATCGGCGCGCGCTGCCCATCCTTGCTGGCGGCGAGTTCAATGCGACAATATCTCGGGTCATGCACGCCGATGTCTAAGGGGGGGTCTCGCATTGCACTCGCTGCCCCCTCGGCCCCGACATGCCGCCTTAAGGAGCGCAAAGATGCGATCGCCCGCTTCTGGGAGGCACGAGTTCTGGGGCGAGTTTCAGACAATGTGGGCGTAGATGCGCAACGCAAGCTGCCCCCGCATCGCCCTGCGTCGGTCGTCCTCGAAGGCGGGGGGGGCCCTCGAAGTCCCCGCCCTTCGCAAGAGCGAAAGAGTCAGGGGATGCCGACGAAGCAACCCCACGAACCAATCGCCCAGAGCTTCGCACGGGCTGGCGCGAGAGCCGGAAGAAGAGTTGGAGCGGGGGCTAGGAGGGGGGGCGGTTCGGCCAGGTTCGGGGGCCCGCGGAGGCCGGGTCCAGTCTGAGCGCGCAGCGTTGCTGAAGCGCCCCTTCCGAGGGCCCCGCGAGGCAGATCTCGGATGATCACGGCTGGCTCCGAAGCCCCTCCATCGCCGAGCGCGCCGCCAGGGCGCGCCGAGGAGACGGCGAGCCACTGGGGCAGGCGGGAAAGTTCGGGCGCCGCGCGCCGCGTCTCTACCCGGAGGTTCGCGAAGACGGCCGTCGCTCGGCTCGCCGATGCCCCCTGCGAAGCGGGAGGCCCACGAGGAGGAGGGCGCCGGGATCGCGCGGGCCCCGGCGGCCGAAGGAGCGAGGCAAGCCGAGCTCTCTTGGGGGCCCCGCGCGGCGACAGCTCGACGGCGAAGGGACTCGGCGACTCGCGTTGCTGAATCAGGAGAAAGAAACACACAGACACAATTAATCCTCGATTCCCGAGAAAATATGGGAAAATATGAGAAGTGGGGGGGAAGACAGAAACTCCGAAAATATGGAAATATGGGAACATTTTTATTTGCGTGTATTTATTTATGCCCTGGGGCCCCTTCACTGAAGCAGGCGGGGGCGACCGCGCGCCCGCCCCGCCGGCGGCCCGCGAGCCGCCCCCCCCCCCCCCCGCGCCAAGCAGGGAAAAACTGGGAGTGGGAAGGGCAGCCTTCGGAAGTGCTCGCAGCCGAGGCAGAGTCAGGCATCGCGGAGTTTTCGGGCGCCGCGGATGCGCCGCGAACACCGCGGCAACGCGCTGATGACTCGCGGCTGTCTCCGCTATCTGGGGGGGGGGCGTGGAAGCCGTCGCAAGTGTTGTCAGTCATCGAACTTCGCCCGCGCACGATGGAAATCACCCTCAGCGCCGCGGCCCGATTGGAGACGGGGCCCCCGAAACCCGGGCAGGATTCCCGGCGCGCGCAGAGGCGCGCGGCGCTTGCCCAGCGGCGCTGCAGGCGGCGCGCGCAGGAATGACCCCCGAAGCGGTTAAAGATAAAGGCCCAAGATTTATCGTCGCGCTTCAGCGATTACACGCGGGTCCATCGACGCATCGAGTCTGGGGCAAGCTTGGCGGAACGTCCCCTGCGAGTGGGGGCGGGCGAACCCTCTGGGAAATGCTGCTCAGCAGGAGGCGCCCCCTCTCGGCGTTTTTTGTTTTTTGTTTACCCCACAGGGGCTCATTCCAGAGAACGGCGCCCATGTGAAACGGCCACAGACAGCATACTGCCGACGTCACGTGAGCACATCAATATTGGCGGCCTGGTTTGGGCGACGACCGAGAGTGCCCCCCCCCCCCCCCCCCCCCGCGCGGCCGCCGCCGCCGCCGCCGCCGCCCGCGCCCCCGCCCGCCCCCCCCCCCCCCTCCCCCCCCCCGCGCGCGTGGGTCACTTTACAACCAGAAGCGCACTTTACAACCAGATGGGTCACTTTACAACCAGCTTATAAAATCCAAGAAGGGCACTTTACAACCAGGAAGGGCACTTTACAACCAGGCAAGTAAAAACACATATTGAATGCACGCGTGCCTTTCCCTGAAATCTCCGTGGGCAAGCGCAAGGGTGGCTTTGGGCTCTTGTAGGCATGTTGGTTGTAAAGTTGCCCAACGCGCACGAAGAAGCACTGCGCACGAGTTGGCGATGCGGCGACCTGGTGCGCTATGGCATGTTGCGTGCTGGTGGGCGGATTCGAGTTTTGACCTGCTCTCTAAGCTCTGTCGGTCAGTTCTGCCATTGCTTGCTCTGCCTTTTTTTTCTGACGGGCGAAGGCTAGTCGCGCAGGACATACGAATAAACCATGATCCCGTCCAAGACTGGAGCTGCATGGCAGTGGAAAGCTGTAGTGGGAGATGTGGTGGAAGCGGGGGCTACAATGGGAACTGCATGGTGTTGGGAAGCTGCGATGGCAACTGTGGTGGTCGCCAGGCAACGGTGGGAACTGTGGTGGTAGCTGGGCTGCAATGGGATTTGCGGTAGTAGCGGGGGGTCAGTCGGAATTGTGGAGGTAGCGGGGCTGCAGCGGTAA